ATTTGGTTTCCTTCCCACCTGAGTTGGTTGATTTTTTTAGTTGATTTTGGAGTTTTTTTAGCTGATTTGGTTGTTTTTTATGGGTTTTTTTTTATAATGATTTTGACTTGATATACTCAACGAAATCGGTTGATTTCCGTTTGATTTGGTTAGTATTTTGTCTAATTTTTTTATTATCTGAGTTGCTGAATTTTTTTTCATTTTTTTTTCCTGGGAGCCTCCCATTGGGGCTGAATCAGCCCCTAATAGGGGGAGATAATAAGCCCCAATGGGGGCTGATAATCAGCCCCTGGGAGGCCCCCGTTGGGGCTGAATCAGCCCCTAGGGGCCTCCCATTGGGGCTGACCTGGGAGGCCCCAATGGGGGCTGATAATCAGCCCCAATGGGGGCTGATTATCAGTCCTGATGGGGGCTGATAATCAGCCTCCATCAGCCCCAATGGGGCTGATTTCAGTTCTGATAGGGGCTGATAATCAGCCCCCATCAGCCCTAATGGGGGCTAATAATCAGCCCCCATGAGCCCCAATGGGGGCTGATTATCAGCTCCCATGGGGGCTGATTTCAACCCCCATCAGCTCTAATGGGGGCTGATTTCAGCCCTGATGGGGGCTAATAATCAGCCCCTATGAGCCCTGATTGGGGGTTGATAATCAGGCCCCATGAGCCCCAATGGGGGCTGATTTTAGCCCTGATGGGGGCTGATTTCAGCCCCCATGAGCCCCAATGGGGGCTGAAAATCAACCCCCATCAACCCTAATGGGGGCTGAAAATCAGCCCCAATGGGGGGCTGATTATCAGCCCTGATGAGGGCTGATAAATCATCCCCCATCAACCCCAATGGGGGCTGATTTTCAGCCCCAATGGGGGCTAATAATCAGCCCCAATCAGACCCTGCGTGTGTGTGTGTCTGTGTGTGTATATACTTTACAAATTGAGGATTTTTATTTTAATGATGAAAGTGTTATTTTAGATGTGTGATAGGGACGATAATACGAAATGGCCGGCCGCAATTGAGGATTTTTATTTAGAATTGATATACGAAGAGTCAAAGACTGGAATGCAAACATCCACTCTGGACAAAAAAATGTGGATGAAAATTGCTAATGAAATAACACTTAAGTTTGGTAAGCATTTCACATCAGACCAGCTTAAAGCAAAGTGGAATAGGCTTAGACGTTGCATGAGGGAGTTTAAGGCATTAATTGAAACAACAGGGTTTCGTTGGGATTCTGAGGCTAACACTGTCACAGCTGAAAAAGAAGTATGAGATTCATATGTGGCGGTAAGTTTTGAGCATTAACATCTTATGTTATATGAAAGAGTTGAATTAGTGTTTGGATTGCACATGAGTATTTACTCTTGTTTTCTTTATAATGTCAGAAACATCCTGAGGCTAAGAAATTCAAGAAAGGGGGTTTGCAGAACTTTGCCTAACTTTCACAGATTTTTTTGGGGACTATTGCTACTGGACAGGGGTCAATGAATGCACATACTGCCGTTAATGTTTTGAATGCGACGAAAAGGGCGGCCACACAACCGGAAGAAGTGGAGGAGGGTACAGGGGACTCGGATGAAGTCCGGGGTACAGAAGACAATAGAAACAGACGGTCTCAGGGTCCTACTACTCGATCCAAGAAGAAGGGCAAGAACAACAGTGCAGTTGACGCGGCTATAGAGGCTTTGGCAAAGAGTGCTACCCTACGTAGTGAGACATTTGTTCAAAAGGTTGATTTATTTCAGCAATATTTAGCTTATAGGCAAGCCCGTACTATGGCATTAGTCGAGGCTCAGAAAGAGGATCCAACTACAAGTATTGAAACCTGTATGGATTTGTTGAATGAGTATGGGGAGTATTTAGACGACTATGCGTATACTAAGGCAGCGCACCAGTTGGCGGTTGACATTTCCCTTAGGAGAATGTTTGTGAAAATGCCCGCTTGTCGTCATCTTTCATGGATTCGAAGCCTGTAGTTTAAATGATTATTGTGTTATTTTCTTTATTTGTTTGCTCTCGGACGTATGTTTTTTTTTAAGTATTGTTGAGCATGTACAACAGATTTTCCTCTTGGACTTGTGTTTGTTAGACTTTGTTATTTGTTTTTAGTCGGATTGAATTATATTGGAGTTCTTCGTTTGATTAGTTAATGTTATATGGATGTTTGATTAGTTCCAGTCTTGGTTCATTTTTTAGGTTAATATGGATTCAGATAGTGAGAATGATGCCAGAGCTGTTGACTTTCTCCAGTCATCAGATGATGATGAACAACAACAACATTATATCCAATTATTGATGTTGATTGGAAACAGACGAACTAGGCAACCTCGTCGTAATTCTGC